GGAAAAGTTTAATTAGAAGAAGTTCTTCCTCCACCTGAACGACTTCACTCTCTTTTTACGGGTGATCATCAGAAATCCAAGAAATTCATGCGCAATATACGCCGTTATAATAACGCATTTCAAATGACCTCTTTTAAGAGTTAGCAAGTCGTTGAGCGTGGGTTTAGAGATTTGATTAAATCTCTCCAAGATATGTTACATTCCCATAATTGCTACATACAATCTTTCAAAACAGAGTTACACAGATCTTATGACAGCTTACAATATCCTTTGATGCTATGTCGTGGAGAATATGGTTATGCCATTAATATTTCTCAAGTTGACCCAATCGGTGGTACACCTCTGCGTAAAACAGTGTCATGTATGAACTACAATTGCTACCGTACAATGACAAGACGTAATAATTTCAATACTTTACTTAGATATGGAATGTTAACAAACCAATACTTGAATCTGAGAGATTGGCCTACATCCGTAATAATCAAACTTAATTGGGAGCTGAAAATGACGTTCATCTTCAGGATGCTTTACAGGCGAATGAACACCGCAACGGCATTGGGCAGTTGGTTATACTACCTTAATCATTCACAGGACCTCGATATTTACACGAAAAATCGCAAGACGCCATGACTTACGTAAGAAATTACGGCAAACATGATTTTTTTTATAACTGCAATATGTAACCCAAATTGGCCGGAAATCAAAAAAAAAAAAAATTAACACCAATTTAACTCCAGTCTTCCATTTAAAAGTACATTAACATTAACAAGTCTCATATATTCGGTCCGCCGCGCTGTCATATGTACACAATAGAATGGCAGAAACGTGGCTTGCCACATGTACACCTGTTGGTGTGGTTAGTGAACAAAATTAGACCAAACCAAATTGATTGGATTATTTCAGCTGAATTACCGGATAAAGATGAAGATCCTATCCTGTACGAAATCGTAAAGACACATATGGTACACGGCCCTTGCGGGACTTTAAGCCCGAGTTATCCGTGTATGCGAGATTCTAAGTGCAGCAAAAAATTTCTGAAGTCGTTCCAAACTCAAACAAGTAGTAGCGATGACGGATATCCCAAATATCGTCGACGATCGCCAGAACAGGGTGGGCAAAATGCTACCGTCCGAAACCATGATATTGATAACCGATAGATCGTTCCCTATAATCCGCTCCTTTTGAAAATTTTTGATGACCACATCAACGTAGAGTTGTGCAATTCAATAAAGTCAATTCAATATGTTACTAATATATGGAGGATTTTGTCATTCGAAGTGCACGACCGGGCTCCCACAATTGTCCACCTTGCAGTTCATTTAGAAAATGGACAAAGAGTATATTTAACAGAGAACAATATACAAGAAGTTGTTAATAACCCGCGGGATACAACATTGACAGCATTCTTCAAGTTATGTGCTCAAGATGACATATGACAGAGTTCCAGGTTACTATACATGGAACCAGAGTTCTAAAACTTTTCAACGGCGAAAACAGGGTACTGCGGTTGATGGTTTCCCCGGAGTAAAAAAAAAACGGATGCTCTTGGCAGAGTCTACGTGGTTCATCCCAACAACAGCGAATGCTTATATCTGAGAATGTTACTGCATATTGTAAAAGGCCCGACATCCTTTGCACACCTAAGAACTGTACAAGGTGTTGTTTACAATACTTACCAAGCAGCATGCAAAGCTATGGGGCTCTTGAAGACGATTCTCACTTGGAAAACACATAATCAGAAGCAGCTGTTTGTAGTTCAGCTACATCATTAAGATATTTATTTGCCGTCATAGTAATGTTTTGTCAAGTAACTGATTCTGTTAATCAATGGAATATATTTCAAGAAAATATGGCTGGTGATATTCTGATTCGGCGATGGCGAGAGTCAAACTCAGATGATGCACAATGTGATCAAAACATATTTGACGAAGCATTATTGGAATTGAACAAGGTAGTGCAATTACTTTCGGGTAAATCGATCAAGGATTTTGGGCTGCCGATGCCACCTAATACTACTAACTCAGATTTAACTAACAGTGCCGAATACACAAGAGAAACATCGTATGATCAAACGAGACTTTTACAAAATATAGCTCAAGATGAGCCACGATTAAACATCGATGAGAAAAAAGTATTCACTGCATTACTATCAACAATTGATAACAATGAAGGGAATTTGTTTTTCCTTGATGAGTCAGGAGATACAGGAAAAACATTTTTCATCAATCTGCTTTTAAAAAAAGTGAGATCTATCGGAAAATTTGCGTTAGCTGTTGCGTCATCCGACATTGCCGCTACGCTTTTGGAAGGAGGCCGAACCGTACACTCCGCTGAAAATCGCCACCGATGATAATTACAGCGTCTGTAGTGTTTCTAAACAGAGCAATACAGGAAAATTGATGCGTGATTCACAGTCTGGGACGAAGCTTCCATGTCAAACAAGACGTCTGTGAAAGTACTGGATAGGACAATGCGCGATTTGCGCAACAAATACTCACCTTTGGGTGGATGTACAATTCTGTTCTCAGGAGATTTCCGTCAAATCTTACCAGTTGTGACTCGAGGAACACGTGCTGACGAAATAAATGCTCGCCTAAAAAGATCCAACCTTTGGCCACATGCCAATAAATTAGAGCTTAAAACTAATGTGAGGGTTTCGTCATCTTCACGTGAGAACAGGCTTTTTCCAAAGATGCTGCTAAAAGTTGGCACTGGAGAGTTAACACAAAGTGAGGGAAGGATTGACTTAGAAAACCTTTGCGTTTTGGTAGAGTTAGTCAACAATGTCTATCCTGACATTGATAACATAAGTTATAAGACAAAATCTTGGTTTAAAGAAAGATCGATTCTGTCGCCAACTAACGAACAAGAAGATAAAGTAAATAACTTGATTCTTTTAAAGATTGATGCGCCGACGAAAATATACTACTCGGTCAAAACTGTTCTCGATTTGGAAGAAGCTGTTCATTTTCCTACAGAATTTCTGAACTCTTTGAACCCGCCTGGACTCCCTCCTCACAAAATGGTGTTGAAAGTAAGTTGTCCTGTTATTTTATTAAGAAACCTGAATCCACCTAAACTTTGCAATGGAACACGTTTGCTGGTAAAATCATTGAAAACTTTCATATTAGAGTGCACAATACTTACAGGATGTGGTAACGGAGAAGATGTATTGATTCCCCGAATCCCTCTAATACCAACGGACTTACCCTTCCAATTTAAACGCTTACAGTTTCCGGTAAAGAAGTCTTTTGCAATGACCATTAATAAATCGCATGGTCAAACCTTCAACGTTGCAGGCTTAGATTTGAGCGTTGACTGTTTTTCACATGGACAACTGTATGTCGCTCTTACAAGAGTGACGTCCAGAGAAAAAATATTTGTATTGTCTAATGACAAGAAAGTTGTGTACGTTGTTTATAAAGACATTCTGGAATATGTTTTAAAAATAAAATAAATAGTTAAAAATGTAAAAAGTAAACAAGTAAAAATGTAGTGTATGAATTTAGATATTCCAAAGATAGCAGGAAATCTTCATGGTACAGGGAAAGGTGGATTTTTTTACTTCAAATTCAACGCGTGCGGGCAACGTGCAGTAATGAATAAATCAAAAGTACTGCATCGATTTTAATCACATAGGCTATTTTTTTTATACGCCGCTATGTTTTTATGTACAACGTTCACAGTTTTTCTGTAGTGTATTTAGTATCAGCACTGCACCCGTGCGAGGCTAGAGCGGGTCGCTAGTAGAGACATAAAGAATTCCCATAGCCTTACCATCATCCATAAATTCTTTTGATCTTGGGATATCGAGTCACCGAATTTAGACATTTCTTGTACTATTCCTAATCTTCCGTGGCCACTCAGTACAGCATCTATCTTGAATTTTCATATTCTGTAATTGTTGCCGTTTAGCCAGTGGTAAATATGGATTGATTCCTCAGTCGTTTTTGGGACCTCAACTTGTTTTAAACTTTAGTAATTGCATCACACTTGGCCGAGCCTGTTAAAATAATACACGAGCGATTTCAATTATACAAAGTGTTTGTACACTAAGGTTGATTGTGCAAAAATAGAGTTGTAATCAAATATGCTCATTTCAACAGTCTTCCGTCATACAGTCGCTTATGGACGAGGAGATTAAGGATACGCTCGACAAAGGGGTGATAGAGAGGTCACTTAGTCCTCGGTCGTCACTAGTCCTAATGATCAGGAAAAAGACGGTACATATAGGTTTTGTGTAGACTATTCGGTTTTGAATAAATGTACCGATAACGATAGATTCTCCCTTCTAGGTAGATCCTCATGTTTTTGTGTTATTAGAAGATATTATTATGGCGACCGCAGTAGCCGAGTGGCTAGCTTGCGTACTGACATTCGAAAGGCATTCGGGTTCATATCCCAGTGCCACCACCATCCAAAAGTTATGAAACATTAATTTAAATAAATAAAAATTATGTTAAGTTTTCTAATTGCGGGGGAATGTCCCCCAAACCGAGTGTATTTTGGATATGAAATAGAAGCTTCTTGTAAAAAAATTATCCGCCATTTGGAGGCGCCTTAGCATTCCATTTGTTGGGAAAACATCTAGACGCAAAACCACAAATTGAAGGAGGAGCTTGGTCGAAAAATCGCTTGAGCAGTTACAAAGCGGTAATTATGAGTATTATCGTCACAAATGATTTTGATAAACACTTAGATAGTTTGAAAAAAGTTTTAGAGAGATAAGCCAGGGCATGGCTTAGACAAAATGGAGACAAATGCAATTTTTGTCGGTCGGAATTAATATATTTGGGCTAAGTGGTAGACAAGAACGGTCTACACGTAGATCCCGAGCAGATGGAAGCAATGCTTTGGATTGATATACCGAAGAACGTAAAGCAAATGGTGTCATTTAAAGGAACAGTGTCCAGTTACCTCAGATTTATTAAAGATTTTGCAGACTTAGTTAGGCCTCTCACCAATTTAACGAAGAAGAATTGAAAGTTCAATTGTACGGATTCGATAGGCCTTTCACAATCCAGACATACGTTTGACAAATGTTTGATGAAGGTGAGAGGGTTATAACTTATTTTAGTAGGTCCTTGAAATTTTGTAACAATAGATTATATTATGTGTTGTATTTTTGTTATTTTTATTTTTTTTGCTTAGCAAGCATTATTAAATTTTTTAAGGCTTATAATGTTTTCCACACTTTTTCTTTTTGCACAAGAACTTTGTCTACTTTAAGTTGATTTACACACATGCCCCACATTGTGTGCCAAAATGTTGTAGCAGCAGGAAGGGGTTTTCTTGCTTTTTTTTTAGAAATTATTATAGTTGGAAGTGTGTAAATGCAGTCAACGGCGACATGCATGTAAAATTAAAACTCATAATCAATACATTAACGAGTGATTTGTTTTCAATGTTAATCATTTGTATATACATGACTATGCGAACAAGGAAGTCTGAGCAAAAGAGATAAAGCGATAAAGACTTATGAGTACATTGCGTGTATGTAAATGTAATAGCCTATTTCCACCAAGCATTTAAGGCCTCTGTTAATTGAATAAAATGTCAAACGTTTCCACCGAAAGTGAGTTAACTCAAGCAGCTGATTTTTGTTTACATTTGCAGTTTGCGAAATTTGCCGCAACTACTGAAATCATGAATGGTTCATTCATTTTATTTGGCTGTTTATGCAATCTGAAGATATGCAAGAGCAGATTATTTCTGCACGGATAAACGTTGCTGAAACCAAAATGCTTTTATGCATGCTTCCATTTCACATTTGCTTGTTTGTTCGCTCAAATTATTTATTTTGCGCAATCAGCTGCTAGCAGCCAGAGCCACGTATATTTTTATGTTGAGGGGATCGTTGAATATTTCACAATAGCTTTTTGGTTGTTTCTTATAGTTTTTTTTTTTTTTGAAGGAGGAGAAACATTCTCTTCGAAAATTACTTAATATATGCATTTATGTTAAAACTAATGCAAAAAAGTAATTTTTACACAAAAAATTTCAGCATGCAAAATAAAAGTCTCGCCCCTCATTAAATCCGAAAATACACGACTCTGGCAAAAAGTACACCGAATCTTCCGAAATGATTACATTAGTAGTGACAGCATCGAATGTTAATCTGTTGAATTGCCGAAAGTGAGTTATAGCCTATTTCCACCAAGCACTTAAATGCATTTAAAGCCTCTGTTAAGTGAATGAAATGTCAAACGTTTCCACCGAAAGTGAATTAACTCAAACAGCTGCTTTTTGTTTACATTTGAAACTTGAAAAATTTGTCATAAGTATTGAAATCATGGTGTGTCCAATTCTAGCGTATGCAGAATTGTTAGAGAATTTTGTGCTGCGGCTTTGAATGCTTTAAAACCTAGTTATCTGAATTATTTTCCATTAACTGAGACGGTCGCTCAGACTATTGTAAATGATTTTAACAATATGGGATTTCCACAATGCATTGGAGCGTTAGGTATGTGTGGACTACTATAACTATAAAGGATGGTATTCTGTGGTGCTGTTGGCTGTAGTCAAATCAAGGTTGGCAAATCTTTAACTTACTTAAGTAATAAAATAGATTTCAATTGTATGTAGGTATAGGTTTCTAAATATAAATGTTGGCAGTCCAGGAAGATGCAATGACTCTTGAATTTATAAAAGTTCCTTATTAAAAGCAGAACTATTGCGTTGCAAGTTGCTTTATGATCAACGGAAATCTTTTAACAATGTGAAAATCCCATTAGTTATTATAGCAGACTCAGCTTCTCGTTTGTCGCGCAACGTTCTTAAGCCGTTTCCATTTAATGTGGAAAGTACAGCTGCACAACGCGAATTCAACTACCGCCTTTCTCGTTGTTGAAAACGCACTTGGGCATTTGAAGGCCAGATTTCGACGCATTGGAAAAGGGTTGGATAATCGTATCGATAATACAAACGCTTTAATAAAAGCGTGCTGCGTTCTTCATAACTTTTTGATTTCACAGAGAGATTATATTACCGACACCTGGCTTCCTGATTCTGGCTCCATGACTGAAGAGCAAAGTAGAGTTGTTCCACTGAACGAAAGAAGACTTAACCTAGGAGACTGCTACCGAAACGCTTTAAGCCAACACTTCGCCCAAAAGTAATTTTAAACATATTTATCTAGAAATTTATATTTCAATTCAAGTCTTCAATTTAAACATTAAATGCATACATTTCTTATATTAATATTAAAAAAACAAAAAAGAATGTAAATAAATTAAATATTGAAATTCAGTTACTACCACTACTATGTACATTTAGTTATTTTTATTTAAAAAATCCATAATTTTTGTTGCTAACATCTGGCTTGTTTCGCACATTGCAGCAAGGCTATCTGTTTTTCTTTTATCGTTTTCCGCCAAGTCTTTCAAAGGGCTTTCAATGTTCGTGCAACATTTATTAAGCGTAGCAGGTTATCTCCTGCAAATTTGATGTAGCTGGGTTTTGTCGCCGGCTCGAGCGCGTATGTTGCGCTGAGCTCGACGTAGATTGCTGCTCGCTATCCGAGGATAACCCTTGTGGGGAAAACGCAGGAGATATCGCGATCGGGGACATCGGTGGCACCTGTGTATCTACTAAAGTATAATACGAAATACATATTAAAATATAAAATTAGAGTTTAATATTTTGGTAGAAAAATACATACAACTGAAACTTTCCCCCACAACACCTTCCACATTCATCGAACGGTAGCCGCCAACAATTTTAGCCATTTTTTCAAATAAAGGCCTTGTTGGCGGCGATGCTCCGGAGGGTCCAATTTATGCTTTCACAACGTTAATATTTAATATACTTATTACAGCAACTTACTTGTATTTGGACATCAAGTTCTGCATTTTGAACTTAACTTTAATGCCAGTAACTTCTATCCCCGACTGCGTTAACTCCACCGCCATTTCTTCATATATAATATGTGTGAGTTTTTCCGCCAATCCACTTGCGCCGTTTTGTTTCCATTTTCAGTTTTGTGTACTTTTATTTATTTTGCGCAATCAGCTGATAGCTGCCAAAGCCACGTATATTTTTATGTTGAGGGGATCGTTTGAAATTCCACAATTGCTTTATGTTTGTTTCTTATTATATTTTTTGAAAGAGGAGAAAGCATTCTCTTCGCCAATTACTTAGTACATGCATTTGAGTTAAAACTAATGCAAAGAAATAA